TACTGCGCGACACAGATGGGCTCCAGATACGAGAGGCCCAAGTATATCTACGACAGGAGGAGCATCGTCGTCAGCAGCAGCCGCCATACCAGAGCCCGCATTACCTCTCGCCGAACCGAACGACAACGACGAGGCCATCGACTGGTCTGGCAACGAGCGAGAAGGTCGACGAGGACAGGCAGGAGAAGCCGGAGTTGCACAGCTATCAGGTCTGGTTCGGCGTTCACCATGCGGAACATCGGCTGGGGCAACCTCTGCGCGACGTGGCACCAGTTGGGTTCAAAACGCACTTCGACGAGGGGCATTTCATGCATGCCATTGCTGATGCTGAACAAATTGTTCATGTCAGTCATCGGGCTGAAAGCGGAGGTTTACCCTGGACTGCAGAAGAAGCGCCCGCAGTATTGAGAGGGCCTGTGACAAGGCCGATGCGTTTCTGTTATGATTTTCGATATGATCAGTGCTCCTCGGTTTCATCGGAAGTTATTCCGACGCCACAAGAGGTGATCGACAACTGGGACGTGGTCGAGATCGGCGACTATGAGGAGGCCGTCTCATTGCACAGCTACGTCGTCTTCGAGACCGACAAGTCGGAGAACGCAACGAACGTCATGGACTGCATTTGGATTCGCAAGTGGAAGAACCGCGAGAAGCGCATCGTCAAGTCAAGATGTTGTGGTCGAGGCTTTCTGGATCGACAGAGGACGACGGTGAGCCGCCATTCATCAACGGTTTCACTTTGAAGCCACAGGCTATAACGTTCAGTCGCCATGAAATCTGAGCTGACCCGCGAGAGCTTCGATATTCCAACAGCCGTCTTGCAGGGACTGAGGTGCTCAGAGGTTGCTGCGAAGGCCAAGGAGCTAGGCCACGAGGGGAAGGAAGCACGTCATGCATAGTTTCGCCCACCCGCGGACATCTGGCGACACTGGAGGAACATTCCGCAGAGCAAGACCGTGGTGTTGGATGGTGGCATCCCGCTCTTCATTCTCGAGTGCCTCAGAGCGTTGCACGGCCTGGTTGACGCTCCTTTGTTGTGGCAGTTGGCACTGCTTCATTACCTCAAGCTGGACATCGGCTACCCGATGTGCACACATGACGAGTTTTTTCTTGTGATCATCGGCGGCTGGCAAGTGGCTTCATTATGAACTACTCACGCGCGCGACCGATCGTCGGCAGTTGCACGTAAGTTTTTCCACTTCATCGCCAAGAAGTGGGGACAGAAGTTCGGCAGCCCCAAGAGGACATATTTACTATTTGCGCACCTGGGCATGGAGCACGAGATGCTGGCACCAAGAAATTTCTCGGTGCATCAACAACACTGCCTCGAGAAGATGCCGGAGGGCAAGTTCACGAGCGCGTTCAACATGAAGAAGGACTTCCAGGAGCTAGATGAGTACGAGCATCACCAGTTCAGGTCATTGGTGCGCAGTTTGCTCTGGTTGTGTCTTACGAGGACGGACATTGCACATGACGTTGTAGCTCTTCAATCAGAGATGGCATGCGCGCAGATTCAACACTTGAATAAGACGGCGAACAACGTGTTGGCACGAGCGCGCAAGACCAAGGACATGACTGGACTACGCTACCGTCAGATGCGCTTCCCGATCAAGATGCGCAGCATCCACGATTGTGGTCACGCCAGGAGTAATAGCTGCTACCCATACGAGGGCAAGTTCGTCACGATGCTGCATGACAGCCTGAAACACGTCACGCCAGAACGGATTACCGGTCGAGACCTATCTCGCGTTGGAGGCTACGCCCGTACTCTAGTCTTCAGTGCTCGCAAAGCGTCAAGGGTTTCGCACTCAACGTCACACGCTGAGATCACTGAGATGTTCTGTCGGACGGCCGCTGCCTTCAAGAGCAATCATCGCGGCGCATGACGTGTTAGAGCTGATCCAGAAAGACATCGCGGTCATCGCCCATGACTCCATGACTGATTGCATGGACCTCTTCGAGCTCATCGCTGGAGGTCGGGGCACTCCTTCAGACGAGCCAGCGCGTGGCGATTATGGCACTGCGAGAAGGTGGGGTTCATCGTCGTATCCGGTCCGTGTTGCATGTGCCCGCGAGGAATATGAAGGCGGACGGATTGACTGAGGAAGGCCGGTACGACCAGCTGCTGGCCTACTGCGCGACAGGCAAGATCAGGATGGTGTTTGTTGATGGCCAGGCGGCGCGCCACCAACGAGCAGTTCGACACCCGGAGGCTTCGGAGAAGGAGATCGAGAGTCTCGACGAGGAGCCAGATTACGAGTTCTATGTCGACATGCGTTGCAGTCGTGGTGGAGACCACGAGACATTCAGATATTGAAAAGTGATGAGGTGAAAAGCGTTGCTGTGCGTCTGCTGCCCCTCATCCCCCCTGCCTCCAGCATCCTTGAGATTCTCTGAGGTATTAGTTGTTTCGCGTAGCCTAGTAAGCCAGCCGTATGATAGAAAAGCATATGTGCACGTCTTTCTGAAAGCTTTGCAGGTAAAGCCAAGCTGTAATATTGAAGCAGATTGGACTCAAACCCGATGGCCGTGGACCGCCCCACGCTCCGCTAGTACATTTTCCAGGGTCCTGTAAAAGACAGGCATCGGAATTGGATTGCTTATGATCCCATTGAGCTCGGGGTAAGAGGCTTCAGAACCTTCGGAGATGTTTGACGATATATCGGGCATATCCGTAACAAGATGGCTAAATCCATGCGGCGGTTTCTTGAAGGCACACGCTGGAAAACCAATTGGGTGGGAGGGGTGGGGGGGGGGGGGGGGCTGCGGGGCGGCCCTGATCCACCCCCACCCCGATGGAAGTTCGGACCTGACCCATCCCGCCCAGCACCCCTCGCGGATGACCATGTCCGACGGGGCCTATGTTCTGTGGCTCGAGGTTGGGAGGAGGGGCGGAGTCTGAGTCTCTCGCGCTCGCCCCATTGAGCCCGAGCTTCCGCGGGGCCAAAGGCGGCCTGCGGCTCGGGAGGGTGGGCGGCCCAGGCCAGACTGGAAGGGGACGTGCGAATCCGACGGAATTTGCGAATTCAAAAGCCGAGACGCTTTTGACGCGGCCTCTCGCAACCCAAATGGCGTCTGCTCAACGGCACATGCACTTGGCGCCCCCCTCCTGACCGCAGAGCCGCTGGCTGCAACCGCGGCCTCCGAGGCCTCCGCGGGTACCTTGCGGACTGCTTCTGCATCCTGTGCTTCGCGCTGAGCAGTTACTGCAGCGCCATCTCCCAGGACCCCATCTCCATCACGGTTGGAGTGTTGAAGTTTGGTTATGGCTTGACCGTGGTTTGAATGATGCCGCGGGATATTTGATCTTCCTGGGTGCCGACCGAATTGGGCTTCAGCCTTCCCGTTGTTACTTGTTGGGCGCGGTTGGCTTCTTGGTCGCCTCGATGACAGATCGCTTGATCTTATCAATATCATCCGTATGATCGGTCCGCATGTTGGTGATATCCGATTGCTGTTTGTTTACCGCTCTGCGGAAGGATTGCGTCTCGTTGAGCAGTTGGTTGTCCGATAGACGCTTCGGCAGTCGTGGCTGCAGCGGTCGCCTCAACAAGTGGGACCTGCGAAGGAAGCGTGGACGGCGACCTCAGGAACGGGCAAGTTTGCGCTGTCGGAGGAGGGAGGGAGGTCGCGGGGGGGAAGAGGTAGAGGAAGTCGCAGGGGGTAGGAGAAGCGGAAAACCGAGGAGGGGAGCGGAGCAGGGTAGAGAAGCTTGGGCGATGAGCCACGTGCCCAGCCCATGGGCCGAGTTCTACTTTGTATGTCTACGCACTCGCGGCCCGTCTTCCCAGACACACCACGCCTTGGAACAACCAGGGCGAAGGACTCTCACAGTCTTCCGGACGGCTGCGTCCAACTGGACATCGAGCCGATAGCGACCCCAGAAAATATGGGAAAATATGGGCAGTGGGGGGGAAGACAAAAACCCAGAAAATATGGGAAAATAGGGGGACTATGTTATTTGTGTGTATTTCTTATTGTGTGTATTTATTTGTGTGTATTTATTTGTGTGTATTTATTTGTGTGTATTTCTTATTTGTATTTATTTTATTTTATTTGTGTGTATTTATGTGTGTGTTCTAATTTCCCTTTGTGGCCTCTGCGTGCCCTCGCGGGGCCCCTGGGGATTGCCAGGCAACCACTCAGCATGAAGTCACCAGCCCACCAAACCACCCCAACCCAACCCGGGCTCGTTTCGACACCTCCGATTCGATTCGACTCGATTTCGATGGCTTCCGATTCCGATTCGATTCGATTTGGGATTCCGATTTGGGTTCCGATTTCTTATTGAAGGCCTACTAGCCTGCCGATTTCCGCCGATTCGACTTTTTCCGACTGGGCTGCCGATTTCCGCCGACCCGATTCATGTCGATCGCCGATCCGACTTATCGATTCGATTCTGCGCTCTCCTGCCCAACCCGAAGGCCCAAATTTATCCTCGATTTCCAGTGGGGGGGGGTCGGGGAACGTTGAAAAAACACATGGTATCCGTACCCCCCCCCCACCCGAAATTCGGGTCAAATGCGGGTCAATTCGGGTTGGGTTGGGGTGGTCTGGTAGGTAGTCATGAAGCCACTGCCATGGGGAAGTGGTCGGGACTCCTGTGGATCCCGCCGCCGTTGCAACGGGGGACGCCCATCAAGAGCTGGATGCTGTTCGTTCGGTAGCCTCGGGCGTTTCGTTTCGCTCGCTGCGCGGTGGCTGCCCGCGGGCATTGTTGCGGAATTGCTGCATTGAGTGTGCTCTGGGTGTCCCCCCTGTTTCACCTCGCGCTCGGAATTTCTGAGTCGGGTTTCTTGCGAGAGCCTTTTGCGGCCGCGATCGCATTGCAGCCGTCCGCCGCCGTACCGGCAGTTGATCAGAGGGTTGCCGCCGCGCGGGCGCCAGCGTCTGGAATGGTACATCGCGAGAGCACCGCCGCTCTCGCTGTCTCCGCTCCACCGGCCCACGTGCGGGCACACGTCTGCCAACGAGATGTCGTCTCTTCCGCTCGAGGCGAGCGCGCCCCCAGGAGCGCGGCACCGGGGTCTTCAGCTGCGCCCCGCGCCGGAACCCGGCCCACTCGTACCGCGAGACGGCGCTCGCTTGGGGCGTTGGGGCCGGAGGAAGGCGGCCGTGAAGGAGAGGGGGATGGATTGAAGCGAGTATGGGGCACGGAGGGGTTTCCCCTGGGCCAGCTCTTCATCCCGAGTCCTTGTCGGCCGTGGAGCCTGTGGAGGGCCCCAGGGGCCCGCAAACAGCGAAAACTCTCAGCCCTGTCCCTCCAGGATTCATGTTCTCCATGCTAGGCGGAGGGAGGATGATCGAGGAAGATCGAGGTTCTGGGGCGTCTCTGCCTGTTTCTGATCCTCGGCACGCCTTTTCGGCAGGCGGGAGGCCTTCTGGGGTCTCCTGAGCATCACTAGGAGACCTCGTTCCCAGCCCTCCCGGCTTCTAAAACGCCTTCTTAGAAGCCCTAGGCTTTTCTAAGGTCCCTGCCTTCTAAGAAGCCCACCGCCTTCTCCTAGAAGGCGACCTCCCTCGCCCTGCCACCTTGTGCGCCGCAGGTTTTGCCGTTTGCCATGATGGACTTGCGGAGGCCGGCTTCGTGCCCCGGGACCGTCAGAAAGAACCATTCGGGATGCAGGGGCCAGCCCTTGAGGCAGCAAGGGGTCGAGAGGCTCGTTGGGGCGCACGTCAGGCGGTCGGATGTCCTGCTCTCCCCGCGTTCGTGCGCGCGCTCGGGAGCGCACGCGGCGGGGAGCCAAACCTCTGAGGGTCCAGGAAACTGCTGTTTGACGTTGCTGTATTGTTGTGCCTCTGGGGGGGGAGCTCTGGGGAACGGGGTCCTCCAGGAGCCTTTGGTGGGGGGAGTCTCCTCCTCCTCCTCCTCCCCCTTCCTCCTCCTCCTCCTCCTCCTCCTATCCTTATTCCTTATTCGGATATACTCCTACTCCCCCCTCCCCCCGGCCGATAGCCGCCCCATCCAGGACGTCCCATCCTAACTTGCAAAAGCAATACAACATCAACATGTTTCGTCATGTTTCCTCTCAACATGGACGTCCTGTCGTCCACGTCGATAACCCCTGGCAGAAAATACCACAAAGTGCACACGCGCACGTTCACGTCAAAATCCAACCAAACACTGTGATTGCAAGCATTACAACATAATTACACCTGAGAAACCCAATCAGTGGATGATTTGAAAATTGATACCATGGATCTTGAGATCGATTGTGAGATCGATAATGAGATCGATAGCGCAATCGATCGTGAGGACGATTGTAAGGTTGATCCTGAGACCGAGAGTGAAATCGATGAAATGAGGTCGATAGCGAGATCGATCGCGAGATCGCTCATGCGATCGCTAGTGAGATCGCTTGTGCGATTGATAGTGAGATCGATGGTGAGATCGATGGTGAGATCGATCGCGAAGTCAGAAATGAGATCGATGGTGAGACCGATCGATAAGAAGATCGACCAGGAACCCGGGAACCCAGGAACCTCGCCGCCCTCCGAAATCGGCCTGGAACCTGGAACCGGGAACCCGGGAACCCGGAACCGGGAACCCGGGAACCCGGGAACCCAGCATGCCATCAAAATCGGCGGGGAATTTTCGCCAAATCCTTCAACTTCCGCTAGGACCCCTTCAGTGCAAGCGCTGATTGGGGAAGAACCTAAAACAACCCAATGGTTTTCGCGAATCTTGTGCAACAAATACCACGCGGGCGACATGCGCGCGCATCGCCGCGAGCGCATGTCCAAATCCTTCCAGAGTCGTCGCCATCATCGGCACCGTCGTTGGCCTTGCCGTCGTTGTCGCCATCATCGCGGGTCACCACCCTCCTCATCATATCGCCATCGTGGTCGACGTCATCATGCCATCGCGCCCGCCCGAGTCACCGACCTGCACCGAGGTGCCCGCGCGCTGGCGCGACCTTTGAGACGCGTTGGGCCAGCTCCCATCGGCCACCGCAGTCGTTGCCGCAAGAATTCTGCCATACCAGCTGGCCGATCTGCGCGCGCGATGCGCTTTGCCAGCCAAGTTTCCTGGGGCTTCCTGGGGCTTCCTGGACCTCCTGGGGCTTCCTGGAGGGGTTCCTGGCGTCTCCTGGGCCTTCTGCGGCCTCCTGGGGGAGGAATCGCTGGGGCCTTCTGGGGCCTCCTGGGGCTCCCTGGGGTGTCCTGAAACATCCTGGGGCTTCCTGGGGCCCTCTTGAAGCTTCCTGGGTCCTCTTGGGGCAGCCTCGACTCGTACTGAAATGCCCGCGCAGCCTTTGAGACGAGCTGGGGGGGGGCCATCGGTAACCGCTGTCGCGACCGCATCAGCTGTGCCAAACCAGCTCGCCGATGTGATCTCGGCTCCCGGCTGTGCCAGCACTGTTTCTTATGTTGTAGGAGGCCGGGTGGTCGCTCGCTCATTCTACTCATGTCCTTATTCCTTGTTAGAATATAGTATTACTCCCCGCTCTGGCCGGCCGATAGAGGCCCCATCCGAATGTTGAAAAAACCATACAAAGTCGTCGTTGTTTCTCTCATCGTGGCCTTTCTTGTCGTCGACGATGCGACGTGCATAGCAGGAATAGGGTGCGGCGCACATCGCGCGCGGCCGTCAATCCGGGCCCTCCCATCGCGATCGTAAAAACTCGATACGAGTTTCCAGTTATTCCTCTCAACATGGCCTGTCTTGTCCTCGACGATGCCAAATTCTCAGCAGGAATGGGACGCGGCGCACATGGCGCGCGGACGTCTGGGGCAACCCCAAGCTGGAGGGGCCATCCCACCTGTCAAAAGCCATACAAAGTCGGCATGTTTGTTCTCAGTGGGGATTTGTTGTGGTCGTCGGCTTTGCGAAATGCGCGGCAGGAACGGGCGCAGTGCACATCGCGCGCGACAGGGCGAAATGTCGCTCTCGCTTCGGTGCCGCGCGCACGTTTTCTGAAAGTCGCGTTCCCGCTAATGCGCGGCGCACATTTTTCGCTCGCCAGTTCGTCGAGCGCCTAGGGCCTCCCAGGGTCTCCTGGGACATCCTGGGGCTTCCTGCGGCTTCCCCAGGGCCTCGTGGATCCTCCTGGAGCCTCCTGAGGCATCCTGGGGTTTCTTGGGGTTCCCCGGGGTTTCCTGACATTTCCTATGGCTTCCTGAAGCCTCCTGGAATTACTTGGGGCTTCGTGGGCCCTCCTGAAGCTTCCTGGGGTTTCCTAGGGGTCGCTGGGGCTTCTCCTGCGGCCTCCTGGGGCCTCCTGAGGCCTCCTGGGGCCTCCTCGGCTTGTGTTGAACGAAATACCACCGCAGTCTTTGGGACGCGCCAGTGATTTCCCATCGGTAACCGCCATCGCGGCTGCACCATCTTTGGCAAACCAACTTGCCGATCTGATTTCGGTCCCCAGTTTCGCCAGCACTGTGTCTTATGTTGTGGGAGGGCGGGTGGGAATGGGCATGCCATGCTTGACTCGCTCGAGCTGGCTAGCTGGACTCCTACTCCCACACCTACGCCTTCTCCTACTCCTCCCCTCCTCCGCCTCGTGCAACCTTCTTCCTCGTGTCGCCTTTCGCCGCGGCTGGGCGCGGCCTTGGATGACGGGCGAGGATGGGGGCGCTCGGGGGGGAATCGCCCAGAGAAGCGCCGGCTGCTGCGAAGCCTGGCTGAGGTTCGCCGGAATTTCACAGAGCCTTCAAAAACAATTTGGCATCTTGCACCTCCGCCTACTTAGCAGTTTGGAGGGTACCCTTGCCGACGGGGCACATCCGCGCCAGACTTTTGAAATGGAGGGGGGGCCCAGGCGTTCCTTGGAACCATGCTTGCGGGCCCAAGCTCCATACTTCCCCACGCGAGGGTCCCACAATGGCATTATGCCCCGCCCCTGCCTCCTGACCAACCCGCTGCAGGCCCGCTCTCGCCTGGCAGGCTGATGAGGAGACAGGTGCTCTTTTTATGGACACTGTCCCCCTCGCACCTCCTTCAGCTTTCCTTGGCAGCTCACGCACGGGGGTGGCGTGAGGGGGGCGGCCATTACGAAGACGGAAGGCGTCTTAGAAGGTCAGGGCCTTCTTAGAAGTGGCTGGAGGTTCTCACGAACCATTTTCAAAAGCTGGAGGGCTTCAAAGAAGCCCTCTACCTTCAAGGAGCCCCCCCCCGCCTTCTTAGAAGGCGGCCCCCCCGCGCCAGCCCTTTGTTCGCGCCACGAGTTTTCCTTCCACGTGGGCGGCCTTGCGCGCCGAACCAGGTGCACATGGACGTCACCACGCTCTCGCGCCAGGAGGTCGCCGAGCTGCTGTCGCGGCTGAACCGCGACTGGCACGGGAGGGATTACGACTTGTTGTCGAAGAATTGTTGCCACTTCAGCGACGCGCTGTGCCGAGGCTCGCCTGGGGTTCGCAGCCTCCGTGGCAATACATTGAATGCCGTTGTGTGATAAAAGCGGTCTGGGAAAGATGAGGGCAAGCGGCGGCGGCAGGGGGGGAGCGATGCGAAGGATGGAGCAAATCCGCTTGCGCGTGTTCGGAAGGCCGTCGGTGTCGTCAGACTCCCAAGCATCATCGTGTTGGTTGTCGTCTGTGCTTAGGTCGTTGTGCCTTGACCCCCGCATCGAGGATATCGCGTGTTCCCCGAGGTGTCTCACGCCAAACCGCGGTCGTCGCGTGAAAAGTGGCAAAGGAGAATTACGTATGGTGGCGGGTGAAATTGCGGCAGCGACAGGGCCGCTCGGAAGATACGCGTGAGAGTGACTTTTGGTCTGAGGTTTGATCGAAAGGCTGTGCGTCTGGCTTTGGGGGCTGGTGCCAGCACTGATGTGATTCACTGGCCATTGCTCCCTCCGCGGCGTCATGACTATTATGGTAGCGTGATTTGGGGAAGCAGCCGTACTGCAATGGTTGTTTCATATGGTTGATTCGTGGGGGGTCTTGTTGGGAATCAAATATGACCCCAGACAAACAAAACACGGACCGCCCTCTCATGTGTGTCCCTCCTCTTATACATTGTGTCATCTCCAGCTGTTCCTCTTGGACCTACATGAAGTGGAGAGAAGTTCAGAAAACCCATTGCAAGCCAAGAATTGATCCTTTATTATGCCAGTGATCTTGTCGTGTTGATGTGTTTACCGTGCTTGGTGCTTTTGGTGCTTTCGGGGTGCCTGGGGCCTGCGGTGTCACCTGACACAGCCTGCCAGAGCCAGCGCAAAACGTCAAAAACATAGAACATGCAGAGGCGACAGAACACCAAAAGCACCCCCCAAAAGCCACCAGAAGCACCAAGCGCACCCCAAAAACACAAAAAAACACCGAATGTAACCCCAGATGCCGCCAGAGGCACTGAAAGCACAGAACGCCTCAACAACACTGAGAACACCCAAGCTCCAGAAACACCTTCGACAGCCACAGGGAACAAACACCAAGTATAGCAACCGCGTTCACCACATTACCACGAGCCCAAATGCATTTGTTATCACCAGAGGCACGTGAAGCACCAACGACGCCAGCCTCACCAGCAGAGTCCGCCAAACTCGCATTAGGCGGTGCATGGCATTAAAAAGCATAGCATCTTCGACCGTGGTGGTTGCATCCTTACTTAGCGGTGGCTTAGAATAGCATCACACCGCACATGCTCGCTTGCACTTGCGCGTAAACATGAGTGGACCTGGACACAGCCCAGGTTAGCAAAGCATTGAAGCGCCGACACAAATAGAGAAGTTCGAGCAGAGGTCTCCCCTGCACGTCAGCTCCGCTACGAGCCACAGTACAGCATACCATAGCATGGTGCAGTATTTGCATAACGCGCTGCAGCCAGATTCTGAACACGTCGCGCGCTCCGACCCGCCAATCCAGAGCCGATTCCCAGGCGAGTTGCTTTGATCAGGGAAGTGCAGGAGCAAGCGGTCAAACCGAAGCTCCGGAGCAGTCTGAGCAGACTCAGGATTCAACCGCAAATGCTTTCGAATCTTTCGATGTGGCAGCCTCTTGGCAGCTCCCTGAGCCTTCCTGGGGCCAGTTCGGAGGCGGCGTTTGGGGCTCTCTAGGGGCTGTCTCTCGGGGCCCTCTTTTGGGATCTTGTGTGCCCTATTGGGCCATCGGTCACAGAAAGGGCGGCGCGTAAGAAGGTTTCCCCGTCAGACGGAAATGCCGTCTCTTGGGGCCCTCCTGGAGCGCTCGTGGGCGTTCTTCAGGCCTTCTTGGAGTCCTCTCACGCAAGCTAACCCCAGCAGCATTGTAGCTGATGATGTTGTGATCTTGCTTTGCAGCCAGGCATCGGCAGACGCTGATGCCACTGCCTGCATTCTCGCACCCACATGCCTTGCTGCCACTGCCTGCCTTGTTGCATCAGCCGCTCCCAGCCTGATAGCTGATGCTACTTAGCTGCTCGTTCTCCCCGCTGCCTGGTTCCTGCACCCTTGCAGCAACGCCGCGACGGCTGGCGCCATGGTCCACGAGGAGGCGGAGGAGGAGGGGGTGCCTCCTGGCAGCTTCGCGCGCGCGCCCTGTCTCAGCATTGAAGCCGATGGCGTCGGGCACGGCGCTGATCTTTGGCGGCCCTCGAGAGCATCGCCCCCTCGGCCCTCGAAACGCCCGCGCGTGCCCCGTGCAGGGGCGGCCGCTCGGGCGCGAGATGGCTTGGCGGAGGAAGGAGGGGAAGGAAGGGAAGGGGGGGGGCGAGGGCTCCCCTCCGCCCCCCCCCCCCACAGGAGGGCTCCCCTCCGCCCCCCCCCCGCACCATTTGCCGCCGACCCGAGGTCTCGGCGTCGGGCCCATCCCCCCGTGGATCGCGAGAGGCCGACGCCAGCGCTCCCAGCCTTCCCGGCCCCGGTCTTCCAGCCCGCGGCGAGACGCCGCCCCGACGTCGTCGTCGCGAGGCCTCTGGGCCGCGGCGGGGTCTCGGCGAGGTGATCCTCCTCGTCGCTCCGCTTGCTCCCTCCGCCCGCCCCCCCCCCCGCCTTTCCCGCATCCTCCTCTTCCTCCTTATCCTCCTCCTCCTCCTCCCTACCTCCCTCTCCTTCCCCCGCTCTCCTCGCCCGCCTCCTCCTCCTCCTCCTGACTCAGTGTCCTTTAACCTCCTCCCACTCCCCCTCCCGCCCCTTCTTTTGCTTCTCCTTCTCCTCGTCCTCCTCCTCCCCCTTCTCCCCATTCCTGTCTGCTCCATCTACCTCCTACGTGCTCCTCGGCTCCTCTGGGACGATGGCCTGCCAGAGACCCCGAAGCGGGGGGCTCGGCGGCTCATGAAGCTGGCGGTGACGGGCGAGATGGTGCTCAACGGGGTGCAGACTGCAGTCACGGGTGCGCAGGCGTGCTGACTTTGCGCATCGTTGCTTCCTTCCTGGGCCTGCTCGGTGTCTGGGCCCTTTCGGCCGCAACGTCGTTCCGAGAAGTGGACCCGTCCGAAGGCCGACCTCGCACTCGTCCCACTGGCCCCGTTGAGCAATCGGGCCCAAGCTGGCTGCCCGCTCGGAGACCGAATGGGCCAGGACGCCGAATGGGTTCACGGAGGAACACTGGGGAGTGCCGACGCGAGGGTGGAGAGCGAGAAGGAAGAGGGTGTGTGAGTGTGTGTGTGTGTGTGCCTTCCCCTCCCGTCGTTCCTCTCCTGGTCTGCCAACCTCATTATTTCAAAGTTACCAGTGCCCTGTGCCGCTTCAAGGGCACAACGGCGACAGCCCCTCGGGACGGATCAGTCTCCATTGTTCAGGCACTCGTGAGGACAATGAGGAGGAGGACGAGGAGGGCGGGAGCGACCCATGCTGGCGACAGTGACGACGACGAGCACGACCACGGCCACGACCACGATACGACCACCACCACGACCACTGCCACGACCACGACTACGACCACGATACGACCACGGCGATCACGACATCGCCGACGAAGATTACGTCGAGGAGCCCAGCCGTTGGGAGCCCGACAACGTATTTTGTTACGTTTGCCAAAAGACCTGGCATTTCTTCGGCAGTGACGCGCTTCCAGGCTCCCCACGGGGGCGTGCCATTGATAGTGTTCTGGCTCCCCCAGAGCAGGCGCAGCGTCCAACGTCCTCCACCCTCCCTCACCCATCCGTCCTCCCGCCGTCCTCATCCCCATGTTCCCTCCCTCCACCCTCCCCCACCTCTCCTCCTTCCTCTTTCCTCCTCCCTCCCTCCCTCCTGCACCCTCCTCCCCTCCCTCCTCCCCTCCCCCCCTCCCTCCTCCGCTCCCCCTGGGTGGCCGAGGATGATGTCGTGTTGGCTCGTTTTTCGGCATGCGGTAGACATCGTCCTGGTGCAATGGCATCCGCGCTACACACACCCAGTGGGACTCGCGAGTGGATCTGGAAGAGAACAACAATCATAACAATACGAATGCGAATGCCAACAAGAATTGGGGGGCTCTTGAACTTGAATCGTAGAACGTTGGAGGGCCGTGCGGTTGCAAGCTTGCCTCGTCTGCAACCGCCACGGCTCAAGCCTTTTCTGTGGAGGCCTCTGGAGGCCTGCGCGGGGGCTCGCGCATGCGCCCCGCGGCCCGAGGCGTGACGCTCGACGCATTCAACCCCGGCGCTGCTGGGCTGGGGCGCCGGTGGGGCGGCGCCCACCCGCTGCCGGCCGCGCCGGCGGCCCCCTGAGGTGCTGCGGCCGGCGCCCGCGCCTGCCCCTCCAGCGCGGGGCTGCCCGGCGGCGAGGCCGCCACCCGTCGCGCAGGTCGAGGAGGTCGGCCCGCCACCAGCCCCGAGGGACGCGCTCGACGTCGGGTGCCTCGCGGACGTGGGCGGGTCGTGCCGCCGGATGACAATCGGCGATGGAGTGCTGGTGGCGTTCGCAGTGCTTGGCCCTGCTCTGCTTCACCGCCGCAATGTGGTGCGTGTCAGTTTCCGGGCAGCCGTTTCACGTGGCAGTGGTCTCGCCAGATCATGACCTGTTCGTCGGGCACTACATCGTAGCCTGGCGTCTCGGCGGCCCAGGCGGAGCAGTTCGCGCTGCGGCAGCGGGCCAGGCGATCTACGACTTCAGCCGCCACTCTCGGCCCAGGAGTTCTTCGGCTTCACGGCGGAGGCCGACCGACGCATCGAGGCCCACGACTCGCAGCTCGGGGTCGCGGGAGGTGCACCCGCTGCGGGGCCTGCAGCCCCAGCAGGCGCAGTCGGCGGCGGCGGGCTCGGCGTGGCAGGTGGACCTGGCGGAGGCCTGGCGGCTCTCCCTGGCGGCGGCGGGGCGGCTCCTGCAGGCGGCGGCGGGGTTTTGGCTGGAGGCGGCGCGCGGGCCGGGGTGCCCGCAGGCGTTGCCCCGGCCGCGTCGGGCGGCGCGGCGGCTGCTGCCGCCTTGGCGGCCGCAGGCCCCCCTGCGGCGGCCGCGGCGGCTGGCGATGGGGCGGCAGCTGCCGCTGGGCCCGCGGCGTCAGTCGGCGGGCATGTTGGGTTTGCGGCCGCTCTCACAGGCGGTGATGGTGAAGGAGCCCTTCCTGGACCAGCGGCTGGTGGAGGTGCCGATGCCTCGGACTGCCGCGCGCTGTCGGTGCGCTGCGACACGAGCGGGCAGCGGCACAGGTCCTGCGCCGACGCTATCGCCATCCCGGCCCTTTCACAGTGGGCCGATTGGCCCGTGCCCGGGCCGCGGACCGTGGCCTGGGCGGCGCGCTTCATGCTGGAGAATGGTGGCAGTATTCCGGGCCATCACGTTCAGTGGCGGTCGATCATCAGGCTCGCGCTCGATGACATCGCGGTGACCACTTCACAGGCATGGCCGCTACCCGAGGTCTCATGGGACCGCCAGAGCTCAGCACCTGGATCAGCGAACACATCGCCCGCGAGAACGCCATCGCCAAGGAACGGAGGAGGAAAAGAGAGGAACGCGCGCTGGCCCGCCCAAAGAAGGGGGCCAAGGGCGGCAAGGAAGGCGAGTAGCCTTCGGCCGCTCTCCCGCGGATTCGGCTACCTGCTGCTCCTTGGCCCCGGGGTCGCAGGCTTTTCTCTTTCCGGTTGATGCGGGATGAGTCGCCAACGCGACGCGTTCCCGCTCCCTGATCTTCAACTTCCCCAGCGCGGAGGCGGCCGCTCTCGAGCTGTCCATCGCCGTGTTCTCCGTCGTCAGCGCGCCCTCGAGTGGGCCAATGACGGCGTCCAGCCCCTTCCACTTCGTCTCCGGTCGCGGTGGCGACGCGGTCGGGCCGCCTTCGGATATGCAGCAGTCCTGCCTCGAGCACTTGGGGCGCAGCTACATTGCAGCTGGGGCCCGCCCTGCCGACGTCCACCCCCGCGGGGCCTTCGCGGGCTCTGCGGGTCCGCCGCGATGCACGGCGAGATTTCTACAACCGTCGCGCCCTGCAGCAAGGACCTCGCGCCCTGGCCGGCCGCGGGAGCTGTTCCGGTGGATCTGGCTAGCGCCTTCTCGGTCGAGCACGGCCAAGATGAGGGACTTGACGGCCAAGGGAGGAGGAGGAGGAGGAGGAGGAGGAGGAGGAGGAGGAGGAGGAGGAGGAGGAGGTCCGCCTTCTGGCCGAGGGACTTGGCGGCCAAGATGCGACGACCTCCGGCTGCAGCGGCGGCCCCTCGGTCTGAGTTCGGTCTCCTCCTCCTCCTCCTCCTCCTCCTCCTCCTCCTCCTCCTCCTCCTCCTCCGCCTCCTCCTCCTCCTCCTCCTCCCCTCCTCCTCCTCCTCTCCTCCTCTCCTCCCTCCTCCTCTCCTCCTCCTCCTCAGCCTCCTCCTCCTCCATCTCCTCCATCTCCTCCATCTCCTCCTCCTCCTCCTCCTCCTCCTCCTCCTCCTCCTCCTCCTCCTCCTCCTCCTCCTCCTCCTCCTCCTCTGAGTTCCTTCCGCCATCGGCGCGTCTACGCCGACTTCGTTCAGGGGATGCTGGGGCGCGGAATGGTTCGCCTCGTGCCTGCCCAGGCTGAGGCCACCGTCGGATTGTTCTTCGTCGAGAAGAAGTTTGGACAGCAGCGGATCATCTTCGGCACGCGGTTCGCCAAGTGCGACTTCGAGTCGCCGCCGCCCACGCGCCGGCCGCCCGCCTCGGCCTTTTCGAGGATGGAGACCAGCGAGTGCGACGTGGTCTGGTACTCTGTGGGCGACGTGCAGAACGCCTTCTACGCCATCTCTGTGCCGTACGAGCTCGGGCCCTGCTTCCGCTTGCCGCCCGTCCGCGCTGGGCTAGCGGGGCGGCCGCTGGTGTGCGGTGCGACGCCTGCGGCTGCCGCCTCGCTCACGCCCATCCTGACGGTTCTGGGTGGTGCTGGGGCATGCTGCCTGGCTAGTGCTGTTGCAGCGGTCGACTTTGTCCGTCTTCAGCTCGGTCTACGCCTTCGCGAAGGCATACAAGAGGCAGGCCGCTCCGCTCTGGGACTCAGTGTTTCAGGAGTTGAAGGTGGTCAGGGACCTGCCCCCCCTCTTTGTGGCCCACGCGGACGCCCAGTGGTTGCCCTGTGCGACGGCCAGTGATGCCACGCCCTGGGGTCGTGGCGTCTGCGTTCGCCAGGCGAACCCAGAGCTCGTCGCTCGTTGGGGCCGCACTGCAGAGAAATGGCGCTGCAAGCAAGGCGCCGCTGCAGCCCGAAGCCACGCCTTCGCGACCGAGGTCGCCGAGGCGGCTTGCGCAGAGGACGTGCCTGATAGCCTGCGGCAGGCCGACGAGTTCAAGAAGTCCTACGACATGATCGACGCGATCTTCAGGGACCACGAGGCTCGGCACATTGTGGAGTCCTTTTCCATGGCGGGGCCAGGCGAACATTTTGCGACTCGAAGGGCTCCCTCTCTCGAAAGCCCTACGACACGCGCTCCGGGGTCGTCGGGCCGTTGGACACCGAGTTCTCGCCCTGGTCGATAACATGGGGCTCGCCGTGGCGGTGGGCAAGGGCCGCTCGGCGGCCTTTCAGCTTCAGAATGTCCTCCGCGAAATAGCCGCCTTGACTCTCGGGCGCCGTCTCCACGCCCACGTTCGCCGGGCCCCGTCCGAAAGGAATCCAGCGGACAATCCGCCCAGAGGCCTGTCCTACCTCAAGCGGCAGGACGAGCTCGATGCGGCCCTCACGCGCGGCTCTGCTGATTGGTGCTGAACCTGTTCTGTCTCTTCCAGCTGCCCCGAGGTTCCCTGCCCTCGGCGCGGTCGGCCCCTTACCAGATGCGAACGCTGGTGGCGACCGAGGGGAGTTGGTTGGTCGGGCTGGCAGCGCCCTCTTCTGCGGCGGTGGCTGCGCGGCACACCCGGCGCCGCCGATCATCGCCGAGTTCGGAGCCCCTCCTGGACTCGTCCCACATGGCGATCCTCGAGAGCCGTCTGGCAGCCGAAGCTACCCGCAGGGACTAGTTCAAGCAGATGAGGTCGTATCTGCAGTGGGTCCTGGAGTCGGGCCACGATTGGGGGAACGTGAAAGGTCTCGACGACGCGTTGGCCCTCTACCTGGACGGGCTCTTCTTCCTGGGCTCGGCGGGGGACGCGGCCAGCGGGGCGATTGCAGCGGTGAAGTTCCATTGCCCCGAGGCGGGCCGCTACGGGGGCCGGAGCCTGCCCCGCTCGGTCAGACCACTAGCAGGATTGGCGAAGGTGGCCCCTCGCAAGACACGCCTGCCCGTGCTGCATGCTGCATGTGCTCGCGCTGGCCATTGTAGGCCACCTGCTGTCGCGCAAGCTGAACGAGCGGGCGGCGGCCGTCCTGCCGTTGTTTCACGCGTACCTGCGGCCCGACAAGTGCGATGCAGTGACAGCGCTTCAGCTGGGGGTGGCAGCCACGGGCCCCCAGGCGATGTGCCGGGGCCTCCTCCTGGGCCCCGTGGAGCTCGAGGGGCCAACCGAGGTCGGCGCCTGGGGAGAGAGCGCCGCGATGGACGATCTCGACTTCCCGCGCCCGCGCTTGCTGAAGCTAAAACGGAGGTGCTGGGCGCCCGACCAGCGGATCTGGAAGTTCGTGCCGGTCGACCTGACGGCTCGGATCCAGGAGGCGCCGGAGGCGCCGGGCGTGGCCGCCACGGGCGTCACCGCCTACGGGTTGAGGCACAGCGGCGCTTCACGCGACCTGCTGGCCAAGCGTCGCAGCCCGCTGGGCGTCAATGCGCGAGGCAGGTGGCACGGCGACGCCCTGATGACGCGCTTCGGCATGGAGGCCCGCGCTCTGGCCGAGCCCCACCAGGCGCCGCAAGCCGCGCTGGACTTCGGCAGCGCGATGCAGGGCATCCTCGCCCACATCGCGCTGGTCGGCGCGGCGCTGCCACCGGCGCCGTTCCTGGCGGACCAGCGCTGACAGACTCTAAGGTCATGCTTCGCCTTCGCCGCACTTTGCGGCGCGCCATAGGTTCAGCCAGGTGTCGCCACAGCCAAATCTTCGTGGAGCTTTTCGCCGGTGGGGTAGGTATGTCCAAGGCCATGAGGGCCCAGGGCAGCGCCGCGATTTCGGTCGACATTTTGAAGCAACCTTGGTTCGACCTGAATCGCCAGGTCGTGCAGTCGACGATTTTGGGGTGGATTTCGAGCAATGTGGTTTCTGCTGTTTGGACGGGGACGCCTCGCTGCACCTGGTCCCAAGCCCGCCACGGGCCCCCTGGTTCCAGCTGGTGCCGACTGCGTAGTGCCGAGCATGTTTGGGGCCTCCCAAATCTGGACCCCAGGGCCTCCGAGGCTTGCAAATGTGGGAACGACCAGCTGCGTTTTTGTTTGCGGGTGGTTCGATGATGCCTTCGCGTCAGAACCCCAGTTGCCCTCGAGATCCTGGGGGCCAGGTGGATGTGGAAGGCCCCTCCGCTCGAGCGCCTGGCACGTCATGCAACTAGCCAGGCCTGCACCGTAGACTACTTCGGGTTTGGGGCTCGTTGGCGCAATAGGATCGGGTTGCGGATCTGGGCCACCCGTTTTTCCATTCAGCTTCCCGCCCTCTGTCATGGTCGAGGGGGTGTGCAGTCATTTCTTGGAGCCCCACATCGTTTTGACGGGGGTGGGTCAGAGCTCGGGCAAATTGTGGACTCGCGCCGCTGAGTTTTATCTCCCTCGTTTCTGTTCCTGCTTTGCCCAAGCTCGGAGACGAAGTGTCGATTCAAATCGTCTATGCCGCCTGCGTCAGATAATTTCAGTCTAATGCGGCAAATGCAAGAATCCCGCTCGGGGTGTCTAGGGGTCTTCTCTCTCTCTCTCTCTCCCTCTCTCTCTCTCCCTTCCTCGTTCGTGTGTGTGTGTGTTGTGCTGTGTTGTGGCGTGTGCCTCTTCCCTCCTCGTTCTCTTTTTCTCCCTCTCTCTCTCTCTCTGTGTCTCTCGTTCCGCCGAGCGCAGCCCAGGAGCCTCCCTGTTCGTCGGACCCGCCTGGCCAGAGACACGCGAAAGTTATCGTGGCCAGGGGTCGTGGCACGATACGAATCGTTATCGCAAGAAATAGAATCATCAGCTTTCGGAGGTCCGCGCGGCTTTCTGGGATTGGCGCTGGGCCACCGTGGTTGCGTCTCTGGCGCAACCCATGGCGCGTTCCGCGCGCCAGATAGAGGTTCCAGCGCCAATTCAAAAATACCGCGCCGACATCTGACAGCGATTGTTTTGTGTTTCTTCGTTCACCTATCTTAAAGGATCAGCACTGTTGTTGCTGCGCCCTCTCCTGTCGCCTCCTCTCGGGGCGATCGAAATAGGCACGGACAAATGGGCACAATGCCCAACAGCTGTTTTTGATAATTTTGAACCTGACTCGCTGCCCGCGCCGCCGCGGACGATGTTCTTCGAAGACACATGGCCGCCTGCCCAGCAGTGGCCGCTGTCTGTTTGATGTTCGGCATTGTATGTTTCGTCCGTATCCACTTCGGGCGTCCAATCCTTCGCCCATTCTACATGAACGGCGCACGAAAAATATAGTAAAATAGCAATGAAGCACATCATACATATCGCGCAGCGTTTTGGTCGCATCGCGTCCCCAACCCACCCGCACCCTCCCCCTCGACGGCGGCGGCGACGACTTCGACGTCCTGCCTATCGCCGCCGGAGGTCGCAGCCGTGGCCGCGGCCGAGACCGCGCAGGCCGCCGCCCTGGCCGTGAAGCAGATGGACGAGCGCTACCAGATCTCCAGGCCCTTTCCCTCTTATTTGGACGGGCGCCTCCTGCCACGTGTGCTCCCTTTCTTTCCCTCTCCCCCCTCCTCTCCCTCCTCCCCCCTCCTCCTCCTGTTCCTCCTCATCCCTGCTTTTGACTTTCCGCGGACTGACGCATATGTTTGCTGAGGCGTCATCAGCTCCTCTTTCTTCCTCTCCCATTCTTTTTCCTTAAAGCTCCTCCCTGTCGCACCCCGAGGCCAGTCGAAAGGGCGGGCCGGGCGTTTCGCCCGAGATTTCCTCATCATTTTTGGCCCCGAAGCTGAAGCATTGCAGCCTCACAGATGGAGGGCGGGTCGCTTCCAAAATGTGGCTCTCGCATCAGCGACGCGCTCATTTGTTCTAAGAAATTGCAAGAGTTTCGCGGATTCAGGGCGGGCGGTTTTCAAAATGCGGTTCTCGTTTAAGCGCCGCGCACACCCGTTTTAACAATTGTAAGAGTTTGGTGGATTGAGGGCGGGCCGTTGTCAAAATGTGGCTCTCGCCGTAGCGCCGCGCACATTCGTTTCAAACATTTGCAAGAGCTTCACAGATCGAGGACGGTTCCTTTCAAATGTGGTTCTCGCCTTAGCCCGCCGCGCACAGTCGTCTTAAACATTTGCCAGAGTGTAACGGATGTCCATGGCCAACGTACCAGAATTTGCGTTGTGGAGCGATTTTGGATTGTCAGGGAGCAACAGTTGCGTTGATTCGCGGTGTTGAAGTCCTAGAAATAGTGTTCTGGCACGATCAGGATCGTCAACACTCAACAGTCAAGTTGACACGTGGCGTTAGAGTCCCGAGAATGGCGTTTTCGCATGCTTCAGGGTCTTCAAACGGTTGTCTCCCAACGAGGCAGTTTCTTCATTGGAAATGATTCCTCGCAGGCACCTGTGTAAGAGGGAGCTTGGAGGGAGGGTGTATTCCAACATCGTTAATAAGGTTTGGGTTTGCACTGGTCCTCCTCTTCGTCCTCCTCATTCCCCTCCTTTTGTTTCCTCATTCCCAGGTCTTCCCTCTGCCCCAGGCGGACTCAAGTCGGGGGAGCGTAAGACCCGGGTTTGCCGGGACTCGGGTTCGCCATCGTTTTTTGACGACCGCGACTCGGATTTTGACGAGGAGGAGTTTCGTGGGATGTCTGCAGCGGGAGGCCTCGTCAAAATGCAGGCTCGGCCTCGTCATTTTTTTGACGACCTCGTCGGGGATTTCCGAGTCCCCCGTACCCGGGTCTTACGTCTCCCCGATCAAGGGGAGAGGGTGCTTCGCCGCCATGAAGGGGACGGGTCCCGAGGGAAGGGGGCCCTGCAGGCTTGTCGCCGTTCTCGGGCCCCCGCTGTGCCCTCCACGGGCCACGAGAGCGTCAAAGAACGACTCGGGACTTTTTCGGTTTTTTTTTTGCAATCTTTCGGGTTTGTTTTGCAATCCTTCGGGTTTTTTTGCAATCCTTCGGAGCTGGTCCAGGAGGTAAGGCGCGGGATCCAGCACCCGTTTCGTTGCTGTGTTCCGGCCGGGCTCCAGAGGCGAGGTCGCTCGTCGGGGGTTGCCAGATCATCTGGCCCAAATGTGTTCATGGTCCAGAGCGTCCCAACTTGTTCGTTGTCTCGCCATTCTTGAAACTGGGGGTCTTGCGGGCCTCGCATGGGGTTCTTTGGAGGTCATATGGGCTCTCCAGAAATCCAGAGGACACTTTTCGGGCCAGAAGCAGATCTGGCAACGTCCGAGCTACATACTTCAGAATTGCTAGGACGCAATCGCAACACGACATTTGCCGTATGCTATGCCTCCTCTTTCTCCTCTCTTTCCTCCTCCTCCTCTTTCTCGTCCTCATCACTTTCCCTCCTCCTTCGCCTCGTTACTCCCTCCTTCTCATTCCTCCTCCCTCTCTTCCTTTTTCGTTAGACCGACCTGAGCGTGAACGCTGTGGCGTTTGTCCCTATCCTCTTCCTCCACCACCTCCTCTTCCTCCTCCTCATCCTCCTCACCCTACGACGAAAATCCTCCTTTCTCTTGCCACAGACTCAAGAGCCCCAAGCGAATCTCGACATTGAGTGTTCCTTACGTTGGCCTGAAGGAAACGGGTCCTGAGTGAAGTGGGTCCTGGATCTTGTTTTCTGTCCCAGGGACCAGTTGTTAATCCCGAGTCGTTCTTTGAAGTTTGGAGCCCTGGAGGCCCGTAAACGTCGACACGCCTCCAGGACGGCCTTCGTCCAGGACCCCTTTCCTTCAAGGCGATCCTTCCTCCCCACGCCGCCCCCCCAGGGCCCATTTCGATTCGATCTATCCGAGTCGATGTCGATGTCGCCCAGCTCGACCCGATTCGACTTCGATTTCCCAGCGATCCGATGCGGCCCAAAGCTTGCACAGCGCAGATGCGTATCTGGGTGCAGCCCATCGCATTCGATCTCGACTTTGTGCCGATGCAGCCCCATCCGACGCACTCTCTGATTCGAGCAGATCTGCCCCAACTCGAGGCAAGCTGATCCCGCCCCCCTGCCAGACTCTCCGCCTACGCGCGAGAAGTCCGGCCCTCGGCGTGCGCGGGCGCAACGAGGTCGCCGGGCCCGGCTTGCCAGAGGTGTCCCTGGCCCAGAGCGCCCCCAGCATGTCTAGGGAGGCCCAGGCGGTCTCCACAGCACCCCGCACGAGGCCCAGGGCCCAGAGGGCCCCAGGGACTCCCGAGCGGCACGACCGAGCCGGCAGACACCTCCTCGGGCCAGGGGCACCTCGGGCAACCCCGCCGCCCCCCCGACCGCGCGCGCGGACAAAGAAAAGACTGGGCCCCTTCAGCATGCTCAGCCGCATCTCCGGCTCGCCCGCGGCGCTGGGCGCCTCCCCTGTCAGCAAGCTGGGCGGTGTGCCCTCGCCGTCCCCGGTGCGGGCTCTGGCCGCCGAGCGGAAGGACGCCCTCTCCGCCGCCGCCGCGGCCGTGGAGGATCGAGGATGAAGCTTCGAGGGGGGGGTCGCCGTCGTCCTCGTCCTCCTCCTCCCCCTCCTCGTCGGTGCCCTCGTCGTCGTGGTCGTCGTCGTCGTGGTCGTCGTCGTCGTGGTCGTCGTCGGCGTGGTCGTGGTCGGCGTGGTCGTGGTCGTGGTCGTGGTCAGGGCCGTCGTCCCGGGTGTCGTCTTCGTGTGTTTTTGGGGAAGAGGATGAGGAGAGGGGAGCAGGGGGCGAGGCTGACCAGGATGAGGGGATGGAGGCGCATGAGAACGAGGGAGGAGCGACGAGGGAGGACACGGGGGGGCGCGGGAAGTGCAATGGAGGGAACGATCCCGAGGTTCCGAGGCTCGGAGGTTTACAGGTTTGGATGAGGAGGAGGAGGAGGTCAGAGGGGAAAGAGGAGGAAGAGGAGGGCCAGGAGGGGACATGATGGAGGTGAGATGGATGGAGGGAGGGAGTGGAGGGGATTGACGTAGCGAAGTGGAGAATATAAACAAATGGGAGTGTTGCAGGACTTGTGCATGCGAGGATGGGAGGAATAAAGGTGGAGAACGGCGACGACGACGAGGAGGGGGACGATGAGCTGGAGGAGGATGGCGAGAAGTTGAAAATGGTGGAGACAGAGGATGATGAGCAAGAGTAGGATCAGGAGGACGATCCATTGCCGTTCAAGTAGTGCCCGACGCCGACACGACCAGAGGGGCACGGTACGGTTTGCTAACAGTGTGGTGCCACGTGGCACCCCACATTGGGAGGACATTGCCATGGGTTTCGACGAAAGCACAGATCCATGGCATACAACCGTGGTGCACACCCACGGTCTGACACGATTCTTGAGGCGGCCGTTGGGGGAATCCGCACGCACACACACACACACACACACACACACACGCAGCGGCAAAACATCATATCAATGTGGCCGATGTGATGGCAAGAGCACGGCAGACAGAGGGTATTGCACAGCCCGCAAAGTAGGAAGGCGGCGGCGAGGAGAAGAGGAGAACAGTCTTGGCACAGCAGCGCCACAGTGGAAACGTCGCTGAGGCACGGTGGACCAGTTCGCATTGCACGCAACGCCTTTCTGTCGCTCGGGGCCGCTTCTGCGCGGACTGCTCTGGGGCCGGCATCTCCCCAGCGGTCGCACGAGGCGTCTTTGCTCGGTCTCTGAGGTTGCCGCAGCTGGGTCTCCTCCCCGCGCCCAGCGGGGGGAGGAGGGAGAAGGAGAGAGGGATTCGCGGTCACCCCTCCGTCAGAAGGGCACACTCGTGAGGGAGAGTGGCCAGAGGCGGGGCCCCCAAAAATTGCCTCACCAGTTCACGCAGCTGTGCGTACTGGCGGGGACAAACCCATGAGCAGGGGTGATCAAGAGGGACAAAAACACACAGACACAATCAATCGTCGACGCCCATGAAAATATAGGAAAATATAGGAAGTGGGGGGGGAAGACAAAAACCCAGAAAACATTCGAAACTATGGGGGTTCCTGTTATTTGTGTGTATTGATTTGCGTGTGTCCCAGGGCCCCTTCAGGTAAGTGCAATCACAGAACACAGCGAACACTACATAAAAGTACTTTAGTGGTGGAAACAATTGGTTTTCAAAATGGTTGGTCTTTAGAAGCTCTGCGTGGCGACGCCCCCGTCGCCACGCGCGCCCTCTGCGTGCCTGCGGGGGCGCCGCCACGTAGAAGTACTGGAGACCGAGCATTTGGGGCGTCGCTACGCACGCCCTCCGCGTGGCTGCGACCATTTGTTAAAACCCTAAAACCAATTAAATTCACTAATAGAGTACTCAGACGCTCGGAGGCGCGCCGAGGCACGCGCAGATGTCTTGGGTAGGCGCAGGAGGCGTCGCCACGGCTGGCCCTGCGCCGACCCAAGGCATCCACGCGGCCCTCCAAACATGTATGCTCATGTTGATGTCTCTCCCCCGATCGCGGATGCCCGCCTGCGTTGAGTCAATGGCGCTTCAGAGAGGGCCTCGCCTTCGGCGTACCCTTGCCTTCGACGGAAGGCAGGCGGCAGGCGGAGGGAGTCAAACGGCGGCGGCTCCGCCAGTGGAAGTGGGCGGAAGTAAGGCCTGCGTTCCCAGGAGGTGACCGCAGGGTTCCCAGAACGGACCAGTTGGCGGGAGGGAGGAGTTACGGAGTTACGGGTATGGCGACTGTGCCGGTTACTATTGGAAGCAGATATTCTTGCTGCTTATTGGCTCTTCTTGCCTGTTCACGCTTACTGTAGACCTTAGGCCGCAGTCCTTGGAGAATACGTCTGCGATAATCGGCTCGATTACCGTCGAGGCGTGCGGTGCATTCCTTACCGAGCTGTGCCAGCTGTTCCGCTGCAAAACTCCCACAGACATTGCAAAACCACAACCTCAGCCCCGTGTGAAACCTTAAAACGTGAGACCCGTGAGCGTACCCCCCCATGATGTGCACCCTTTGCCCAGGAGGGGGTCTGCTAATCACACCGTCCACGCTAATTAACTCGAAACATGGTGAGCTCAGCCACTCGTGCTTACATGCGAGTGAGGTCGACCCCTTACATCGAGTGCAACAACGGCCGTTGTCACCCAGGTGGTGCGACGAGGCGAAAATTGCACAAACACTGACTGCAGGGGGTTGAACGACTGTGGTGGAAGATCTCCGCTGCCTACGCCGAGCACCGAAAAACTCAGCCTGCAACAACCTATCTTCAGCATGTATTGTTTCAAGCGTGCTCTGTAAAATGCGCATGCGCACAGCAAAGGCCATACTCTCAGCCCTATGTACCCGTGTGCGCGTGCTCTCAGGTAAACGTGCAATCTGAGCCCCTGCGGCTGCAAACTCGTCGGCGACGGTGTTGCCTATAATGATAAGCCTGGGAGCGTGCTCTCCTACCATGTGCTCAGCGCCTAAGTGGGAATTAATGAACAAGACTGTGCAATGCAACTCAGGCTTGCGTGCAAGTTCCTGCCCTATTTTCCACCAGAGGTCGGCGTCGGCCCCCGACGGCGATAGCCACGGAGATTCGTACCATCCAGGGCACACTGTGGAATTATCCGTGGTGTATATAATGTGCCCCTCACTCTCACGTATGCACACCCACAAAAAATACAATTCACCGCGAACGACCGTCTGCCGAACGCCTGGAAGAGCTGACCAAAAGCCGAGTTAAATGTGCATGCCATCGTCGAGCGAGCGAAAGAGGGCGACTCCGAGACCGACGCGGCGGAGGCGAGGGTGGTGCGTTTCCTTGCCTCCGCTGGTGTCGCCGAACAGGTACAGCGGCTGCTCGGCGTAGCCCCGTCCGAAACCTGTGAAACCAGAGCCTTCTGAGACGTGCCAATGCTCGACGTCTGGTGGATCCTCGACGGCGACCCACGACGATGGCAATAGCCCCCTCGTCCAGAAACACTCCTCGGACTCCCACTGGGTGTCTGCTTTGGCGACGTACTGCTCGCTCATCTGATACACTGAACTGGTTGATCGAGATTCGCATCCCCATCTCCTGTGAAAGCTGGTCTCGGGAACGAGACGGCATCTGGGGCATTTCTCGTCTAGCTTCTGCTTGCAGCGTGTCTGCCTCCTGGTCCTGGGCCAAGACGCTCCTGTCGCCGCTGCAAGCATCAAATCTGCCAGACGGGGCCCGCCAGGGCCCTCCTTCGAGCTGTCGTAGTAACTGTCTGTAGGAATGATTACTTATACCTCTTTCCATGCCACTGCCGCCAAAGTGTGTGGAGGCGTCCTCCCATAACTTGGCCTGGATGGTGGATTGGAACTCAAGAAAGAAACTCTCGGGCACGTCGATGGCACTGCAACCAGTCAGGGCCTGGTCGTTGAAATTCCAGCTGCTCGTGCCGTCGGGGGTGTCCCAAGAATTCGCTGCTGCTGGGTGCCACCCCGCGTTCAACAGGTACGTGATGACCGCAGTTTGAGGTCCTCAAATCCTTCGGCACCTCTGGGCCGCGGGGAGGGTAGCGAGCTCTGAACCGAGGGGGGCAGGAGGGAGGAGAGGAGGAGGGAGGGAGGAGGCTCCAGAGAACGAATCGTAGCCTTGGAGGGCCACCCTTTACGCTCTTCACGTTTGGGCTCCCCCACACCTCAGGAGTGCCGTTGATCTCCGTGGCCTTGAGCCTTCGGTTTTTCGGCGGAGACAGTCCGCACTTCCCGCCGCGCGGCGTGCCGCCTCTGCTCGCGCGGGCGGCGGGACTGGTCTCGACTGCTGCCGTGGCCACGACCGCCACGCCCACCATCGAGCACGACCACCACCACGGGCAGTACCGCCTGCCGGCCGCCCCCCCCCCCCCGCCCGCCCGCCCCGTGTCCTCCGAGTCGCTTTTTCCCTTGCCGGGTTGCCCGAGCCGCAGCGCCCCCTAACGCCCCTCCTCATCCGCCTCCATCTCCCCCGCCTTCCCTGGCGGCGAGTTCACGAGTTCAGGCGGCGTGAGGGTCAGGACGAGGAGGAGTTGGAGGGAGCAAGAGTAGGAGCAGGAGGAGGAGGAGGAGGAGGAGGAGGAGGAGGAGGAGGGAGGAGGGAGGAGGGAAGAGGAGGGAGGAGGAGACAGGAGGAGGAGGAGTGAGGAGGAGACAGGAGGAGGCAGGAGGAGGAGGAGGAAGGATGAGCGAGGGGGGGTGAGGTGGGAGAGGGATGAAGGCGAAAGGAAGCAGGGAGGAAGGAGCGATCGTGGATGGGGGGTGAGGGAGGGGCCACGAGAGCAGGCAGGAGAAAGGGAGGAAGCAAGGGAGCGGCGAGACGCAGAGGGCGAGGACGATGACGACGACCACGACGACCTCGGCCGAGGAGGCCGGCTCCACGGAGAAGCGGCGGCCGCCGCCGCAGCGGCAGCCGCCACCACCGGTCGTGCCCCCCGCATCGAAGAGCTTCGAGGCTCTCGCGCGCCGGCGGGGGGAGAGGCCGGGAGGTGGAGGGGGGCGGAGGAGAGGAGGGCGAAGGAAGGGGAAGAGCAGGGAGGGGAGAGGAGGGAGGAGGACGGGGTGGGGGGGGCGGAGAGGAGGAGGACGAAGGAAGGGGAAGAGCAGGGAGGGGGAGAGGAGGGAGGGGGAAGGGCAAGCCAGGTGCGCTCGCATCATATCTGGCATCCTACCCCTCCCTCCCATCCCTTACCATGGCGCAGATCCCCTCTCTACTCGCACAGTCAGATGTCAAGCAGGGCGATGATCCCGAAAGGGTACGCGATGCATTGTAAAGCACGGCATGGCATGGCGTAGAAGAGCACCGCGAAGCGTAGTATCAACCTAGCATTGCATTGCATGCCGTGGCATGGCACGGGAAATGAGGCCAGCGCTGCAGCGGGAGCACGATTCGGAACGAGCGGAAGCACGGAAATGAGGCCAGCGCTGCAGCGAGAGCACGATTCGGAACGCGCGGGGCCCGAAAATGATGCCGGCGCCACATTTGGGGAAAAATTGCAAGCGAAAACCTAACTCCGGGGAAGGCTCCCCGGGCGCCAGAAGCTGCAATTCAGCATTTTCAAAAGAAAAATGTGTATTAGAATGGCCTTTTTTCGGCGCCGCCTCGGAACTCGATTTTCCGGCGCCGGCCGGAACCGGCTTCGGACCCGGCCCGGGCGCTGGCCCGGGCGCCGGGCGCCGGCTCGGGCGTCCGGCCCGGGCGCTCGGGCGCTGGCCTGTGGGCGTCGAAATTCAGCATTTTCAAAAAGAAAATGTGTATTAGAATAGCATTTTTTTTCGGCGCCGCCTCGGAACTCGATTTTCCGGCGCCGGCCGGAACCGGCTCCGAACCCGGCCCGAGCGCCGGCCCAGGCGCCGGCTCTGGCGTGCAGCCCGGGCGCCGGCGGAAATGATGCCAGCGCTGCAGCGGGAGCACGATTCGGAACGAGCAGGGCACGAAAATGAAGCCAGTGCCTCAGCGAGAACAGCATTTTGGAACAAAAATGCAGGCGAGAACCCAACTCCGGGGAAACCTGTGTGTAAACAACAGTACACGGGGGGGGGCGAACATTCCCAAGACGTCATCAGGGGAAGAGGGAGAGTAGTATTCATATTGAGTAATTATGGAGGAGGAGAAGGAGGAGGGTTGGAGGGCAGGGGTGAGTTCGGGCAGAGGAGGGGAGGCATGGGTAAAGGAGGGGTGGGGACGAGGGGTGGGAGGAGGGAGCAGATGAGGAAGGGAATGGACACTGTTCCAGACTCTGTGTTTCCAGACGGCCCCCCAACTCCCTGGCGCACGGATACGACGCCATCTGGGTCTCAGACATACGGATTCCGCGCCTGAGGGGACATCGCGCGGGAAGAAAGAATGGATGGGCGGAGGCGGACGGGTAACACGTGGAAGGAGCATGCGGGGAAACGAGTGGAGGGGGGAGGCAAGAGTGGCTGGTACGAGTGCGCCTCGGCGGGGCCGTCACGACAAGAAGGTACGAGCACTCAATCACCTCCTGCTCCAGGGTCTGAACCCTCTGATTCGCCGCCCGATGGCGGGGCCAATGCACCCTCCTCGTGCTTGCCTTCCCGAGCGCAGCGACCCAGCCTTTGTCCCCCCGGCGAATAACAACAAAAAACAGCACGGTAATTTCGTGTCGTGCCGACGCGTCGGCGACACCAGCGCGGGCTTTCTTCAAGGTTGAACGCCACCAGTGGCCCGAAATCTGCCAATATGGCACGATCAGGGGAGTGTAAAGGCAGTTGAGGGGAAGAGGGGGGAAGGCGAAGAGGTGAATGGATGAATGAAGCTACGCGCGAGGGAGGCGGGGGAGAGGGAGCGACGGACGCACGGAGGGAGAAGAGTCGTGGAGGCGACGGGTGATCGAGGGAGCTAGGAGCGAGGGAACGAGGAGGACGAGGAGGAGCGAGGGAGCGGGGGAGAGAGGAGCAGGACGAGTAAGGGTAGGGGGCAGCGTCGCGAAAGAAAGTGACGGGGGAAAGGGAGAAGGAACAGGATGACAGGGAGGATGAGGAACTTGTTTCCCACAGTTGCGGATATGAGTGAGATGGCTTCGAGCTGTCGTGGCGATTGGAGAACCGAAGCTCTGATGGACCGCGAGGGCACACAATGCTGTACTCTGTTGGCAAGGCAAGGCAGGTCGCCACATGGGGACGCGTACGTTTTTCACAGTCTGGCAGGTGTGCGTGTGGGTAGCGGCGCGGGTCGTCGGCAAGTCGTCGCTACCCAAAACGATTCTATAGGCTTACGCCACATCCGCCGACCCCTATATAAACTACTGCGTCTCCAGGACTGCATTTCACGAGGCTTGTTTGAATCGTGACACGGCGCTCGACATCGTTCTTGTTGCTTCGTTGCTGTTATCGTATCTCTTGGTGCTCTTTTGCGGCCTTTTGGTGGCATCTTGGCCTGTCTGCAGGCCATATCCAGCCGCCTCGAGGCATCTTGGGCCAAGTTGTGGGGCCTCTTGGAGGCTTCCTGGGGGCTTCTTGGAGGCCTTTGAGGTTCTCTTGGGGGTCCCTCAGGGCCTCTTGGAGCGCTGGGGGCGTCTTCGGGCCGAAGGCTCGAAAAGGTGCCCCCAGCGCTGACGGTGCTGCTGATGCTGATGATGATGCTGATGATGCCGAGGCTATTGGCGACGATGCTGATGATGATGATGATGATGATGTTGATGCTGATGTTGATGGTGATGATGCTCATCATGCTGATGCTGACGCTGACGCTGCGGCTGCTGATGACGTTGATGATGATGATGAGTTGCAGCAGGCAAAATATGCTGATGATGATGCTGCTGATGATTGTGATGATGCAAATGATCGTGATGATGATGATGCTGCTGATGATCATGATGATGATGATGGTGATGATCTACCGAGAGTGATTGTGTTGGACTTCCATACGAAAGGAGTGGCACCTGCCAGGGTGGGAGCCGGGGCTGTATCCGATCTTCCCATCGAAAGGGCGGCAATGGTTCTTGGACGGGTATCGGAAGCATCCAGTATTGAGTGTCACGCGAACGCAGTTTATGATAACCCCGTCGTTGGCAGCGACGGCGCACTCAGCGCAGGGCCGGACCATGGGGGCAGTGATAGCGGACCTGGAAAGAGGGCGCGGCGTGAGTTGGATGTCGACTTACGTTGCCATCACACGCGTGCGCAGGCGAGAGAACCTGCTGATCTTCAGGCCTCTTGATAGGAAGCCTTCAACGCAGGTGAGATGGCGGGCGCGAAGAAATTGTTGCAGGTGCTACGAGGGGAGAGCGTGGATTGGGAGGAATGGGAAGCGGAACTAATGCCACGAGACCAGTGCGAGCGCTGCCGCCGGAGGTTGCTTGTAGAGGCGTTCGCGAAGTACGAATTCCAGAGGAAGGAGAGGCCAGCGCTCTGCAAAGAATGCGCGGCAGAGATGAAAAACGCCAGTGAAAAATGGTGCACAACGTGCAAAGGGTGGGCAACGAGAGCGGAGGGGGAAGATGCAGCGCGGCACGGTAGCGGTCGGGGCGCGGGCGCAGCGGCCGGCGACGGGGAGACGAAAAGGATTCGATCAATGTCCTGCGCGAAGTGCAGTCATGTCAAAGCGATGAAGAACTCGCGGAGCGGCAACGCGAAGTGGAGCGACAGCGTCGGCATTGTGCGATGTTCGAACGAGAAGTGCCTGTCGCTGTACGAGGAGAAGGCGGACATGTCGGATGCACAGAAGAAGCACCATGCAGCGGGGGCGAGGCTGCGTAGGAAATGCGCGGAGGAACGTGACAAGGCGACGCGCGAGTCGAATCATAGGAGGCGTAAAGACAAGGCGGTGGCGAAGCCGCTGACGTGCTGCGCGCCAGGATGCGGGGTGAGTTTTTGGGAGACGGGGCATTTGAATCGCAACCAGGCGGGGGGCCATAGGGCGAAGAAAGGAGCGAGAGTGGCGCGCGGGGGCTGCAGTAAGCGCGACACAACCGCGAAAGGGGTCGTCGATGAGTCGAAGCGGTTGACGCGGCTGCTGACGTGCGCGGCGTGCAAGAAAAGTTCGCTCGGCAGCAACACATCAGCGACGATCCAGAGAGTAAGCACTTCACGAGGAATAGTAAAGTTGCACGCGCAGGTTGCATTGCCAACGGGTTCACGGTGCGCAGTTGGCAAGCCTGTGAGTGCAGTGGCAAGTGCCAGAGGAACTTGCCGAAGTCGGCTTTCTCCGTGGACGCGAGCCATGTCGCGCGTGACGAGAAGAAGGGCACCGTGACATGCAAGGCGTGCGAATGATACCAGTAGGGCGCCCGTGCCATGGCCAGTAGAAGTAGGCGCAGCGGGGGTCCGAGCGGGAGGGAGGACGAGGCCGACGAAAAGAGGAACGCAAAGAAGGTGAAAGCAGAGGAGGAGGAGAAGGAGGAGGAGGGGGAGGAGGAGGAGGAGGAAAAGGGAGGAGGAGGCAAGTGCCAGAGGAAATTGCCGAAGTCGGCTTTCTCCGTGGACGCGAGCCATGTCGCGCGTGACGAGAAGAAGGGCACCTTGAAATGCAAGGCATGCAAATGATACCAGTAGGGCGCCCGCGCCATGGCCAGTAGAAGTAGGAGCAGCGGGGGTCCGAGCGAGGGGGAGGACGAGGCCGATGAAAAGAGGAACGCAAAGAAGGTGAAAGCAGGAGGAGGAGAAGGAGGAGGAGGAGAGGAAGAGGGATGAGGAAAAGAGCAAGGGGGAATATGGGGAGAGGCGGAAGGGGGGGGAAGGCTGCAAGTGCCAGAGGAAATTGCCGAAGTCGGCTTTCTCCGTGGACGCGTGATATGTCGCGCGTGACGAGAAGAAGGGCACCGCGAAATGCAAGGCACGCAAATGATACCAGTAGGGCGCCCGTGCCATGGCCATTAGAAGTGGGAGCAGCGGGGGTCCGAGCGAGAGGGAGGACGAGGCCGATGACAAGAGGAACGCGAAGAAGGTGAAAGCAGAGGAGGAGGGAGGAGGAGAGAGGAGGAGGAGGAGGAGGAGGAGGAGGAGGAGGAGGAGGAGGAGGGGAGGAGGAGGAGGAGGAGGCGGAGGAGGAGGAGGAGGAGGGAGGAGGAGGAGGAGGGGAGGGAGGAGGGGAAGGAACAGGGGGAATATGGGGGAGAGGCGGAAGGGGGGGTCAGGCTTGTCGCGAGGTTCGCAGAGGAAATTTCGAAGCCTCTTGGAGGCTTTTCTGGGGCCTCTTGGAACCTCTTTTGGGCATTTTTGGGTGCCTCGTGGAGCCTTGTGGGCGCCTTTTGGGGGCCTCTTGGGGCCTTTTGGGGTCCTCTTGGGGGCCTCCTGGGGACTTCGTGGGGCCTCCTGGGGCATTGTCGGGGCGAATGGTTTAGATTTTCGGTTCGTGGTCCCCCTCTTGGGGCCGTCTCGGGGCCCTCTTGGACCGTCTTGGGCGCCTCTTGGGCCGTCTTGGCGCCCTCTTGGGCCGTCTTGGGGTCCCTCTTTGGGGCGTCTTGGGGCGGTTTGGGGGGCTTCTTGGCCTGTTTTGAACGCCGTCAAAGCTGAAAAGCTGTATATGTTAAAATTATACGTTTCCCAATCGGAAATCTATGATTTTGGCCTCTTGGGGCCCTCTTGGGACGCCTCTTGGGCGCCTCTTGGGGTCTCTTGGAGGCGCCTGGGAGCGTCTTGGAAGCATCTTGGGCCGTCTGCCCTGACTCTCCACCGTCCACACCTTCCGCGTGGAAGGTTTTGATGTGTTTTAATGTCTTACTTTGTCTTGTTTGTCTTCTTTTGTCTTGTTTGTCTTCTTCTGTCTTGTTTTACCTTGGTGATTGCTGCTGATGAAGATGAAGATGATGATGAAGATACTGATAATGATGATGATGATGATGATGATGATGATGATGATGATGACAATGATGAGGAGGAGGATGGTGGTGATGATGACGATGACGATGACGATGACGATGATGATGCTGATGATGACGATGCTGATGACGATGATGATGCTAATGATGATGGTGATGATGATGGTGATGCTGATGATGATGATAACGATGAAGCTGGTGATGGTGACGACGATGATGGCGATGATGATGATGACGATAACGATGACGACGACGATTACGATGCGGAATATGATTATGGTGATGATGGTAATGATGATGGTGGTGATGGTGATGGTGATGGTGATGATGATGAGGAATGCGATGGTGGTGATGATGACGATTGTGATGATGATTATGACGATGACGATGACGTTGGCTACGGTGATGACGATGATGATGCTGCTGGTGATGATGATGATGATGACGATTATGATGAGTTGCATGATGATGGCGGCGACGATGGTGAGGATTACGATGATCAGGATGATGAGGGCGATGAATCTGAGGATGAGGATGGTGATGAGAAGGGGAAGGAGGAGGAGGAGGAGGAGGAGAAGGATTAGGAGGAGGAGGAGGAGGAGGACCTCGAGGGGAAGGAGGATGAGGATGATCAGGACCTCGACGGGATAATCAGAATGAAGACGATTAGGCTAAGTATGATGAGGAAGGTAACGACGAACGCCGACGATGAAAGACAAGACTGCGGGAAGGAAAACGACGAACACTATGAGGGAGGAGAGGGAAGCAGGACAAGGAGAGGGAGAAGGACACCACAGGCCCCTGCAGGCCCAAGCGCCTGCAGGCCCCAGGCCCCCTTCAGGCCTGCAGGCGCGCTCGGGGCTGGCGCGCCGCGCCGCAGGCGGCCATGAGCAAGCCCACGCGCGAGGGCTTGGCGCGGGCGCTGCAGCTGCTCCCCAAGCAGATGGTCCTCAGCGGCGAGCTGATGGCGTGGCACACGGGGGGCAGCAAGAAGGTCAAGGGCCTCCCCGAGTACGCCCTGGGGAGCGGCTGGTGGAAGGTGCTCAAGAGCGCCATGGACGTGCATGTGGGTCTGCAGTTCGACTTATCGGACTGGGAGGTGGCAGTTGCGATGGTGATCGGCCCGCGCTTCAGCCAGATGAAGGTGTGCGAGGAAGCCAAGAAGATCCTCGACTTCGTTGCTGGGTGGAGGCGGCACATCAGGACTCCACGGGTCAAAACGATATGAGGAGCAGTATGGTAGGAGGGGAAGGATTACAAGATGAGAGACATGAGGATGAATATGAGGACAACGGGGAGGGATGCAACAAGGAGAATAATGGGGAGGATGAGGACGATGATGGGCGGTAGGCGGTAGGCATCGAGTGATAGAGCGGGGAGAGATAAAGAGAGAGAGAGAGAGAGAGAGAGAGAGAGGTAACGATATGACGAGGAAAATAACATACGATGGTAGCCCTTCCCCGCTCAAACCTCCATTACGCTGGTCATCCTCCCACTCCTGCTTACCATCGTCTCCAGTATATCCCTTCCGACCTCCTCCTGTGCTTGCTCGTATTACTCATCGTCCGCGTCGTCATCCTTATCATCATGCACTTCTACACTCCTCCTCCCAATCCCCCATCCTCCTCCTCACCCTGCTCTTCAGCATCCCCCTCCTTTTCGCTCGCCCCCTCCTCATCAGCATCATCATAATCATCAGCAGCATCATCAGCATCATCATCGTCATCGCCAGAATCATCCTCAGCAGCAGCATCGTCATCAACAGCATCAGCAGCAGCATCAACATCACCAGCATCAGCATCATCGCCATCAGCATCATCATCAGCATCGTCATCATCATACGCATATGTCCATGTGTCGCTCTATCTCCGACTCCCTGTGTATATGTATATATATGTGTGTCTAGGTATGCCGATTCGTATGTATACACACATATATATACCATAGCACACGCCAGGAACGGCTACAGCATGCCGACGGAGCTCGCCGAGCTCATGGGGCTGGAGGGCAAGAGCAAGGGCAAGGACAAAGACAAGAACACGGCCAAAGACGGCAACACTAGCACGAGCCACTTCCGCGAGTACATGCGGAGCAGCCTGTTCGAGTCGGACAGCCTCGACGACAGCCTCGACTCCGATGGAGCAGGCTTGCGCGGGGACTTTTCCGCCTCATCCTCTTGCTCCTCACCATCCCAACCCTGCTCCTCCTCGTGCTCCTCCTCGTTCTCCTCCTGATCATTCTCGCTCTCATCCTCAGGATCGCTCCTCCTGGCCATCCGCCCCAACCTGCGCATCATCGTTCTGATTCTCTCCGCCCCCCTTCCTTCTATGCCTCCTTATCCCCGCGATCCTGCTCAACATCCTGCTCTTCAGCATCCGTCCTCCCCTCCTCATCTCCTTCATCATCCTGGTTGTCAACATTCATGTCCTCCTCCGGTACCATTGCGGTACTCCTGGGTCTTGCGTGTCCTCGCCTGTTCCACGTCTCCCGCCATCCCTGTCTTACCACCCGCTCCCTCTCCTCCCCGTCGCTCCTCCCCCTCCCCGCCCCTATCTCCGCATCACCGTCGCTCCCTCCCCTCCCCGTCTTTCCTCCTCGGCCTCCGAGGCGGCGGCGAGAAGGTCGACAAGGTCGACAAGGTCGACAAGGGCGGCAAGGGCGGCAAGGGCGGCCGCAAGGTCGTCAAGCCCGAGCAGGAGACGAGCGGTGAAAAGTCGGAGGGGGAGAAGGAGGAGGGGGAGAAGGAGGAGGGCGAATAGAAGGATGATGGGGATGCTGAAAAGCAGGATGATGAGGAGGATGTATGAGGAGGGCGAGGAGGACCGTTGATGCGTGAGCAAGATGATGAGAATGATGAGCATGATAATGATGAGAGCGGGGAGGCGTCGGAGGAGGGGAGGAAGGGAGATAATTGAAACGATGATGATCATGATGGGGAGGAGGGCCATGAGGAGCGATAGCGAGGACGATGACGAGGAGGGCCAGGATGATAATCAGGAGGAGAAGGCGAAACAACGAAAAGAGGACTACGAGGTATGCGAAGCAGGCTGAGGAGGATCAGGAGGAGGGAGGAGGACGAGGAGGAGGAGCAAGAGGAGGAGGAGGAAGATGAGGATAATGAAGGAGACGAGGCGGTGGACCAGCGCCCACGCCCCCGCCCCCAGGACGCAGCCGTCGACGCCTGTTCGGAGTCCGAGTGCAGCTTCAAGGAGGACAACGAGGACGAGGACGAGGACGCGGAGGACGAGGGCGAGTACGTGATGAAGGGCGACATCTGCGTCCGCTCCGAGGACGGCGCGCGCGCCACGGGCAAGTTCAAGATGGACAACGGGGCCACCTGCTTCACGTGGCAGGACGGCGACAGGTGGGTCTCCACTGTTGCGTGGTCGGACGAGCCTGCAGGTCGTGGCAAGGCGAGCGCGCCCAAGAAGGACAAGAGCACGGGCGCTGCTTGCAAGGTCGCGATGGGCAGGGGCAAGAACAAGGACGGCAAGGGCTCGGGCAAGACTGGCAAAGGCAAGAAGCGGTTCAGGACCAAGACGCTTGCGGACGACGGTACCAGCAAGAAGGCCAAGCCCGAGCCCCACGCTGACGGCGGCGCCAGCAAGAAGGCCAAGACCGAGCCCCACGGCGACGGCGGCACTAGCAAGAAGGCCAACACCGAGCCCCACGGCGGCACTAGCAAGAAGGCCAACACCGAGACCCACGGCGACGAGGCCGACGCGAAGATGACCGAGCTGCAGGCGGCGATCAAGGAGGCGAGGAATGGCTGCGAGCGGCACGGCGACTACAGGGTGGGCGTGGACCAGCGGCCCAAGTGGCCTGGCGGCTGGGAGGTGTGGGTGAAGTACAACGGCAGCCAGCGCTGGAGCAGCTGGCAGTCCAAGTCAAAGAAGTCTCTGCTGGACACGGCCCGCGATGCTAACATGGTTGCGGCCAAGATGCACGAGGGAAGGGATATGGGCCCTGGTGATGATGCTGGAAATGACGAGCTGGCCGATACGCTTGCCGAGATCCTTCCCGACGGCCTTGCCGACGCCGACACGCTTCCCGCGGGCCACGCCGATCAGAGCTCGGGCCCCGACCCTGCTGGCGGCCACGCGGCTGGCGAGGCCCAGAAGGGCGACCAAGATGAGGATGCGCAGGAGTGATCCGACGCACGAGGCAGCATGGCGAACCTGACTCTGAGGATTGTTAAGGGATATCTGGAATCATGGAGGGGATAAGGCACTGGGAGGAAAGGAGGGAGAGAGAGAGAGAGAAATAGCGAGAACCAGAGAGAGAGAGAGAGAGAGAGAGAGATAGAGAAAGAGACAGAAAGAGATAGAGATACATACAGAGAGAGAGAGAGAGAGAGAGAGAGAGAGAGAGAGAGCAACATCACGGAGTCGCCATTCTGGAAGAAGTACGCGTTCCGCTGGCTGCAGGCTGCTAGCATTTTACATGTTTCTATTCGTGCGCACGTTCGCACGCTGGCGCAGCCGCGCCACGCTGTTTGCTCCCCCTGCTGTTCGTGCAGGGGAGCACCGTTCAATTTTACTCGTGGCTGGGAGGAACAAGTTCCAGCCGCATGAGCAAGACACCCGTATCCAACTTAACCTCCGCACCTCATCACCTCAAATACGCCCGCCCGTATCCCTGCGCACATCTCGTGCTATAAGCTTGAGCTGGATATTCCGCCCCACCGTGGTGTTCCGCCCCACCGTCTGCATTCCCACCGCTCCCTTGCCCCTCGCACTATTCACCCCTCTGGTCATGCCCCTTCCCCGCCCATCCTCGCCCGATCCACTCCTGACCAACTCTCCCCATCACTCCCCAACTGCGCCTCCCTCAACGGCCCGTCTCATGCGCTCAATGCGCCATGCATATGCGTGTCCTCCTTACGGGTGTTCCCTCAAATTCCATACTCCCCTCCCTCCTCCATCTAACGGGCTCGGCCTTGTCCACCTGCTGACGCTGGCCCCATTGGACGGCTCTCTGCTCATCTGGTTATCCCCTCTGACGCAACCGCTTACCAATGACCCTGGCACGCCTGCTTCGTCGTCGTAGGCGTCCGTCGCCCCTCGCATCCTCACCATCGTTCTGGGAGCACGCCTCCTCGTCGTCGTCGTCGTCGTCGTCGCCCGCCCTGCGCTGGACGCCCGTCGGCCGCCACGCGTCCGAGCTGATCGATACAAGTGCGCCCACGCTGCCGCGCGGGAGGGCTGCCCCCCCGACACTGACAGACGGGTAAGGAGGGGGAGAGGATGGGGGGGCGAGAGCCCTCCAGTCGACTCAGGCAAGCATAGGCAGACACAGGCACGCACAGGCCGACACAAGCAGATAAAACATAGAGGCAGACAGCATACACCCATGCAAACAACACCAGACACGCATACAAATACAAGCAGGCATGCGCAGGCATGCGCAGGCATAAGCAGACATAAGCAGACATAAGCAGACATACTCAGACATATGCAGACACAATCACACACGATCAGGCAGACACACGCCATCCAGACATGTGCAAGCACATGCAGACATACGCAAGTATAAGTACAACTGCCGACATAGACAATAGTGACCATACGCAAGCAGACAACTAACCATACAGCCGCGGGCATACGCAAGCACACTCGGATCTAAGCAGGTGTAAGCATACATAAACAGACATAGACATACGCGTGCAGGCATAACCACAGATAGGCAGCACTGACATTAGCACATGGGGCCAGACGCGCATCTCATGACAACACAAAGCACGAATACGTAGGCAGACGAACGCGCGCGTGAGCACACACTGGGCGGATGCCCATGTACATATATGAATATGTGCACACGCACATGTAGACAGACACGAGACCTATGTATACACCACTGTTGCTATACATCGTTTATTGCAACTATACATCTATATCTGAATACGGACACGCACGTATATAGCGCCCCCGTTCTCTTCATACATCGTCGTTGTTCTCCCCAGCTCGGGTTATGCGCCCCGTTTTCTCTGTACCTCTCTCTCTCTCTCTCGCGATCGCTCTCTCTCTCTCTCTCTCTCTTCCTCCCCCCGTTCTTTGCCAGTATCCCCCCATCGATCTCTATATGTGATTGTCGGTATCGCTCCCTCTCGTTCCCTCTCTTTCTGTTATGTCGCTCTCTCTCTCTCTCTCTCTCTCTCTCTTTCTCTCCCTCCACTGTCTCTCTCTCTCTCTGCCTCCGTCTCTCTCTCTCTCTCTCTCTCTCTCTTTC